TTTCTTTATTCTTTTTTCTTTCTGCTTCTCAGACATTCATAAGCCTATCAGGTCATCTCGGTTGGCCTATCTTAAAGTTTACTGATTCTTTTACTTTTTCAAACTTGCCATTGAACTTCCTCCCTTGTTCATTTTTCATTTTCATTATTGTACTTTTTAAATCCAGAATTTCTATTAGTTCTTCTCTTATGCTCTATTCGATAAAATATGGTTTTACCAAATTTTTTTTATCTATTTGATAAAACATGGTTTTTATCAAATCCCCCCCAAAACCAATTCAGGCACATCCCATAGAGAGCTGGTACCCCAAGCAGAGTCAGGTTGAGCTCCACCTCTGGCAAATGCCAGGTGAGATGGTCAGAGGCCTAAGACGCCGCCTTAATCTGTGAAGGGCTATCTCTGCTTCTGTTTTCCAGGGTCTGAGAATCCCTTACCTGCTTGGGAGGCATTTACTGTGAAGCTTATTACATTTTAGCAGATGAGATTCTTGTCTAAAGATTCCTTGTTTAAGGTGCTGCTCAGATTTCCAAAACAAACAAAAAACCCAGAACAAAACCTTTCCCCCAATTTTTCTTTCAGGGTGTCCTGATAAAAATCTTCCTGGAGTTATTTTTCAAACAAATCACTTCAAAGATGTATGAAATGCTGTGGGGCAAGGCAGGTCCCTGATAACCACCAGCACCACGCCCCCACCCCCCTCTTACCAACACATACACTCCACGGCAGGAAAGCGTCTCATTTCTAGTACCTCGATCTCAGAGATGATTCCCCTAGAAGATGCTTTTGTGTCCTTGTGACTGGACAAAGATGAACTTGCAATGTAGAAAAGGTCAACTCTTGCTGATTCATCTACCAGTTACATTTTTTAAAAAAACGTCCTTTTATATAGATGGCTCCAAGCAAATATCTACTAGGCCAGTGTTTTTTATACTATGGTCCATGGATCATCCCTGTCAGTATCGCACATGAAACTAGTTTGAAGTATTGGTTCCCAGGCTTCGTCTCAGGCCCAGTGACTCAGGATTTGTGGGGCTGGATCCCAGGAATCAGCATTTTAAAAAAGCACCCCAAG